CACTTATATATACGCATGACGGGCGAGTACAAAACCCGGAATGCACTCAGGCGTGAAGAGTTTTTTGTTGATTTTTTGTATATATTAGGTAGTATCTCCTATAATATATAATGGATTTTTATTCAGAGACCAGCCTAGGAAAGATACTTTTATACCCGTTTCAATGATATAAGTTATGTTTAGCAGTAATTAAAATTAGAAGCAAAAGTGGTGGCCGGAATGTACCACTATGAAATAAAAATGGCAATATTTTCAACTGTTTTCGTTTTAATAAATACTCATATCTCAAAAAATGCTGAACCGAGTTTTGTTCAGAGACCACTCCAGTCTAGGGAATTTTGCACTTGTTAATATGATACCAACTGTTTAAACATATCTTTCATATTGATCGCAAAAGTGGTGGCCGGAATGAATCGAAGTCGTTTGAAAAATGACAAAAAAAGTCAAACTTTCTCGAAAATGTCTGTCCTTTCTTACCCATTAAGAATACTTTCTTCTTTGAACATATAAATTATGCATGCATGGTAACTGTTCCCGTGGCAGGGAACAGTTATATATATATTTACTATCAAAGTAAATCATTATAACTCAGTAATGCTCCCAACTGATCATTTTTGCACCTAAATAATTGTTTTCTTATTGTTTAAATCATTTCCGTGAACCTACTTCACCTTCCATTATCACCCATCACACCAGAGACGTATAATACATTATTATACGTCTCTGATCACACCACCCATCATCCCATCTTTTATTAAAATAATAGAATTTCCTCTGTCGACATACTGACAGAAACAGGAAATGATATAGCTAGTGTTGTTCAGGGACGTATACTGGATATACTGTCCCTGGGTTGTTTTACAAAATTATTTCAGGCTTGATGGCAATACCTCCGGACGGACGGTTTTTTAACTCCAAATTCACAAAGAACTCGCCAAAAGCATACCAAAACCACGGACTTAGATAACATCTAATTCCGTGCCAAAACTTACAAAATCATACCAAAACTTACAAAATCATACCTGCAAATTCGGACCTTTTCAAAAATAGTTTTTTTTCCCAAAGACAGTCAATTCAAAAGAACTTTGTGCCTTGACTGAGCGCACATCCCGTGGACAGCTGCTATCTTCTATCAGAAGGAGTCCACGTATTTATACAGATAAAGATAGAGAACAGGACTCGAACGAACTTCAGCTGTGTAGCATTTACGGTCATGATAAAGGTGGTATTCCGGTCAAAATTTGGATGTACAGGAACCAAATAATGGAAAACTAACTTCATTGAAAACCAAATGCGGGAACATTTGATTTGGTGTTTAGAAAAGGGGCTGAATGACAGAGCCCGGACGGTTGCGCACTTTGAATGATGTGCTAACAAGTGTATCATTCCATTGATGTCAACGTGTTTATATTTACATCAATATACAAGTGTACCAGTTAGTTATAGCAACCTGAATTAGAAACATTCTTATTCCTTTTCTAACTTCAATTTTTGTTCCATGACTTCATTTGGACTTGGCACTTCTGTGGAGAACATACACAACTTACATAACTACCTACAATCCTTTTCATATTAACTTTTTTTTTTTAATTTTCTTTTTATTCAAGATTTTTTTGCAATATATGGTATATTTACATTCAAACAATTCATATCACATATTCAGACCTCACACGACTAATATTTACTATTACTTACATCAGTTGATATATTTAGACACAAGCACATGTAATGGTACCCATTTACACATATATTGCCTTTATGAGCACACAGAGAGAGAGAGAGAGAGAGAGAGAATAGAAAAGAAGAAGGAAAACAAAATAGCAATGAAAAACGGAGAAAGTCAACAGAAAGAGAAAGAAAAAGGAGAAACTAGTTTTTGCACTGCAGCTCAATTATAAACAAAACTTTATGTTTAGAATAAGATTATAAGATAATCTTCTGTATTAATTGTAAGTAAGGTGCTTTCGGCTTTAAACTGCAAGTAAATACAGCCATATAAAGGTGACTGAGAAATGAGGGTAATTCTCAGGACAAAATATATTTACATCATAAAAGAGATTAACTTTAATATTAAATTTTGGTAGTAATAATAATGATCAAAATTGGAGAAAAAAAGGATTATTAATGTTTGTATATGTTTGGGTCAACATTTTGGTAGAGGCACCATGTTCGCCCGACGCAATACATTTTGTACGTGTCCTTATATGATTAGTCGGCCCGCGCCGTTTATCGACAAAAAGGCTGTTTTTAGTACACTCCCTAAAGTACGACTTCATCCTTCGAGCGTTTGCACAAATGTTGACGAAGGCACTGAAAAAGAAGTCGGTGATTGACATTGAGCAACAAAAAGGCACATGTGTTGATCGAGTCTGAAATTTTACGAAGATGCTGCGTCGAAAGCAGAAAACAGGACATCAAGAGAGCTCTTATACATCAAATCAAGCTAAGAAGACACTTTCTCACAAACAACCTGTGGATATAAAGAAAAAAAGAAAGGATGTCGAAGAGGAGATTCTCGAAGGCCTCGTCCTAGGAACCCCAGATGAAGTGATAAAAAAACTGGACGTAGGAAAACGGAAGGTACTTTTCCCCCATCTTATATTATCGTGATCAGCCGCCAATAATACATAATATGATATAGTTTTGACGTTATCAGCATAGGTGCTCGGATTCTGGAATATATGTGATATATTTAGGTAGATGTTCGATACTTAATGTATAAGGTCATTCCAATATGGCTGCCACACCAAACAGTGTATCAAATTCAATGACGCATTCCGTTAGCATTAAACAATCCCTGTCACAAAACAATATTTCTCAAACATAAATGAGGTACAAGCACATTAAATTTCAGAAAAAAATATTCCATAAATTTCAGAAAAAACTCACTTTTTATATGTTCATTTTTCAAGCTGAATTTAAGTCCCAATTCAGGAAAAAACCCATTTCAACTTGTAAATATCATAAGGTTGGATGTCCATGGAGATGCATTTGTTGAGAAAAATGTAAGAAAATGCTTCAAATCTCTATTGTTCAGGATGTGACGAAAACAGAAGATGAACTATTTGATACTGAAGCTGAACCTCCAAAGAAAAAAGAGAAGAAACCAGTGTGGGAAGATGTAGACGACATAATGGGAAGGTATACAAACAGTATACAAACAGAGAGCTAACAAATTTTATAACAGTGTGTAATCAGCTGTACATGGTGGGGAGGTATACAAACAGAGAGCTAACAAATTATATAACAGTGTGTAGCAGCTGTACGTGGTGGGGAGGTATATAACAGTGTGTCATCAGCTGTACGTGGTGGGGAGGTATACAAACAGAGCATAACAAGTTATATAACAGTGTGTAATCAGCTGTACATGGTGGGGGGTATACAAACAGAGCATAACAAGTTATATAACAGTGTGTAATCAGCTGTACGTGGTGGGGAGGTATACAAACAGAGCATAACAAGCTTATATAACAGTGTGTAATCAGCTGTACATGGTGGGGAGGTATACAAACAGAGCATAACAAGTTATATAACAGTGTGTAATCAGCTGTACGTGGTGGGGAGGTATACA